CCCACTTTAATTCACATACGATGGGGGTGGGAGGGCAGGGAGAATTTTTCAACTAACATTTCTCTTTTTTTGTACTTATTTCTCTCTTTGTATTTTTATTTTTTTTAACCCATGAGGAGCAGTGGATTTTCCTATATTGTTGAACTAACTTTCCCTGGCAACATCCAGGATTATTTTATGAAACTTTTGGGAGCTGCTGAGAGTTTAGGCACAATTAGGGTTGGGAAGAGTAAGACACCAAAAGGATCAAGAGCCCCAGAAAGGCCAGATGAAGAAGAGGTGAGAGAAACACACACACGGGGAGACTGACTGAGAGGAAGTGAGGGGGACAGAAGGGAGCTCACAGAAAACCCACTTTCAAAGTCACTTGTGAGCCTTCTCAACTTTTTCAAAAGAGTACTTGAAAAAGAGTCTCTCCTTCAAGGAAAAGTCAAGCCCTGCCACAGCAGGTCCCCCAGTAGGGGAACTTCAGGGAAGGCTTGACAATCCTGTGAAGACCAGAGAAAATGTCCTGGAGACTCCCCAGTAGAGTTTCAGCAGGAAACACACAGGTCTCAACAGCAATATCAAAGTGGAGGAGAATTGCTCAAGGATCAGGATGAAGTCTTTGAACCAGGAGAACAGGCTTGCCTCTCTTGCACTGGCAAAGGTAAGTGCTTATTCACTGAATCAAAAAATACTTCCTGAATGCTTTCTAGGTGCTGGGCATTGTGCTAGAAAGTGAAGAAGCAAAGTGAGATGTAGGCCCTCAAAGAGACGTAAGTCTCAAAGAACTCATGGATCAGAAATTGGGACATCTCTGTAAACAGCTCACTGGACCTTACTGAGACCTCAACCAATAACTGGGTACAAAGTATTCTTTCAGCAGCCTTGGTGATGTTTTTATTTTCAGTGTTTTGTTTGATGGGAGAGAGGGGGAGGTCGGTGAGTGCACTCAAGAGGGCAGCTCCATTAGGATGCTCAGTGATCCCTGATTCCATATGTATAGAAGAACCCACACATCAGTCATCAGACTGATGCCTTCACCTGAGTTTCATGTTGGGTTCCTGGGGTGTGGCAATATAGGAATCTCAGCCTCCTCTCTAAAGCTCTTCCAATCCAACAGCAACTGGAGACATAAAAATTGGGCTTTGAGAATACTTTTCCATGAAGAGAGAGGTCCTAAAAAGCACCTTTTAGGATACCCTGAAAGAGATGGTATTTCTATTTACTTAGGGAAGACTCAGAGGAATAGAGGACATTAAATGTATTCTTTTGGACACAGGAAGTCTAGAGCCTAGGGCTGTGCAAAAATAAATTCTTGCATGCCTTGACGAGGACAAGAGACAAGGCACAGAGCCATAAATGGGGAATGTGTCTAGAGGAGACAGGGTCCCCTGATGGCACTCGGGCCCCTGCAGGAGGATGCTAGCACTAAAGTGCTAGCAACAGGCCAATCAAACATTCGTGCAGATCCAGGTGGAATTTCCATGTGAGACAGGGAAATGAAGGCACTTCTTTCTGAAAAGACCAAGGCCCGTTCAGGTGGAAACAACATCTGCACACTCCAAAACAGCTGTGTAGTGAGAGGGCAGGTATCTTTATAAAACTCAGGCACTTTCTTCTTGACCTCTTAGGAGTGGTAGGTTCATGAGGGCAACTAGGAGACATATTGCCAATAATAAGAGGAAACTACCTCCCATGATGAATGGTAGTACAGAGTTGTGGCTTGGGAGGCCACCTTGGATATGGACAGTTGACAGTGGATATGGATAACTGACATTTTCCCCATCTGATGTAAAGTGTTGGCAGATGGTTTCATGGACAAGGCTCCTCCACCCTCTTCCAATTAGATGTCACTCCTAAGTGGCTCTGTATCAAAATGTATGAACCATTACTAAAATGGTGGTTAATACTCTTATTCTCCTTTTCCACGTAAGACGTGGTCAAGGCTAAAAATACATATTCTAAAGAGGTTTATATAAGTTTATTTCAAGCAGCACCCTATGAGTTATGATGGAAGAAACTAGGATTTTTCAGAAATGTACAAAACAATTAGATCGGTCTGGAGGGAGAAAATGCAATGAAGCCATCAGTGTTGCCAATGTGCTTAGCCTCCATCAGCTATCCATTCAGGAACTATAATGGGTATGTGTGTGAGAATGGTCCAGATTGAAACATGATCTACCCACACAGAATGGGACAAAAGATGACAACAGCTCTCCGCCTCTAGAGTCTTTACTGAGAGGTGTCTTATCTTTTTTTCTCCAAGGAACCCCAAGCTGTCCCAACTTATTTAAAATAAGTACCCTTTTGGAAATATATAGTGGAGAAAGATGAAGGTCTGACTGCTAAGGTCTCCAGCTTCAGTTCAGATCTGGCAACAGCCCAGTGACACCTCTGATCTCCAAATAATCAGTCACAGGGAAAACAGCACCCTGGTGAGTTCGAGGTGATTAGTTACTGCTTGGCATGTCTCATCAGTTTGAATCTGGGATAGATAATCTGGACCAGGGATCTGGAAAAGGCTGTTCATCTAAATTACTCTGATCTACAGGTAGATTCTGATTATCCTGCTCCTCTCCCCTTGATCCATCTTCTGTTTCCATAGCAGCCAAAACCCCAGTAAAATGGAAGCATCTGGCAGAGGCTCAGGTAAAGTCCCCCAGGGAAATGAGTCTGTTGGATGGCCACAAAGGGGGAAAAGCACTCTAAGATGTGCCAGTGTGAACTTCAGCGAGATGAAAGGAAGAGGGCTCCAATGCCAGACGAGAGACAGAAGTAATTGTGAGAAGAGAGGGTGGGGGCTGGGGGCAGGGAGGAAAGGAAATGTGGAAAGAAAAGAAATTAATGTACAAATGTTTAAGATGCTGAGAGAGAAAGGGAAAGTAAAGAATAAAAAGACAAAGCATGAAAGAGCCAGACAAAAGAAGAAGATGTACAGAGGAGAAGGGGGGAAAAAAGACCCAGAAAAGGACAAAGAGCTGAAGAGCCAGAAGAGAAAGAGAAGATACCCGACAGAGACAGAGAGAGACCTGCACAAGGGCAGGGCCCAGTGTCTCTTGACATAAGGCAAAGTGGGTCTACCTGTGATGATGAATGTTCCACAGATTCTAAAGGCACAGACAGCCCTGGCATCCAATGGCACTGGAGACTCAGCATTAAGGAGTGATGAATGGTGTGCACCGTGGACTTAGAACGTCTGCCCATTTTGATGGCCCCTCCTTCCCATGTGCCCCAGGGCCATGTCCTCTCTCAGATGGTCCCATGCACAGCAGAAGCCTCCTCCCAGATTTTGGGCCAGCCCATCATAAGGCCATTCCAAACTGATAGAATCGCAGATATGCGGGTACTCTCTCCAGTCCCTCTGCTCACAGTGGTAGCGTTCAGAAATGGTTACATGGGATAGCTCGCAGCAATTCAGGCCAAACACACTGAAAACTTCATGCCTTCTCTAAGAACCTCCAACAGGGCAATGGTTTTTATTTAAAGATCCAAGTGGAGTGGACACTGCGATGCTCTGCCACCTTCAGAAGGGAAGGATGTCTGCTCCAGCGGATCATGTGCTGCTGTTGGGCAGAACTCTGGTGCCGCCACTTACGTGGATTGTCTCACCTAAGGACCCCTGGCCCAAGGTTACGATCCTTCAGGGGACAGCCCAGATTCCATGACTGAATGCTCTGCTGGTGTAAAAGACCCGCCTCTCACCTCAACAGAGAGCATTGCTAAATGATAATGCTAGCTCCAGAACTCTCCACAGCCTCACCTGAGACATTCTACCGGTCTTCATGCAACTCAGCTTTTCCCTTGGCCCAACCCTGCTTTCTTCCCTTCCCTTTCACCGGAGTTGATCCTAAGAGCTCCTCAAATAAACTTCTTGCACACCAATCGCGTTCTCAGGGTCAGCTTTTGGGGACCCAAGCTTAACACTAAGCAGATATCCACTACTATGGTTCCTTTAGAATCCTTAAACCTGCAGTACTCAGCAATACACATGCATTCATGCATACATGCATACACACACACACACATATACATACTTACTTAAATATAGTTCACATTAACCAGCAATAAGCACTGAAATGAAACATCTTTATTCATATCTCTGCTCAAATGTCACCTTTTCAAAGACCTTCCCCGGCCAAACTCTGGTTCTTTTGTCAATGTAAACTGCTCTATCTTCTCATCCTTTTCCCCACCTGTTATACTGTATATTCATTTTTTTTTTGTCACTTGTCTCCTGAGATGTAAGCTCATGAGAACAGAAACTTGTATGTTTTGCTTTATTGCTTTAGTGCTCAGAAGAGTGCCTGGACTATTACAAGCAGTCAGTCCATATTTAAAAACAAATGAAATAATTTAATGCACCTTGCATAAAAGCTAGCTTAATGATAAATGGCATCTCTCCTTAAATTCTAAAGGTTTAATGTTCAATCCATGAAAGCACAAAACAACGCTTGGTCTGGTCTCCAAAACATCTAGACATTTAGACAAAGCAAATTTTTCAATTTAGTCACACATTGCTCTATATTTGTTATCTAGGATTAATCAGAGTAAAACAACAACAAAACCACAAAGCAATTAATGGGCTAGGGACCAGATATTTGTCAACGCTGAAGAAGCAGACTTGGACATTTTCCTTTTAGGACTATGGCCATTCAAAGCCTTCATTCATCATTGTGTGTTTGTGTTTTCAGTATCTTACAACAACCACCTGAACAATGCCACCAGCACTGGTTGTTCCATCAGCAAAGAGGATCATTGGAGTTCACCCGGAACATCTCACCACCATTTCACCCAGAAACAACTGGGATTCATTTCCCCAGGATTCAAGAGATCCTCAAATATGATTTCTGAAATTTTACAAGATATATTCCTGTCTTGCAGAGAACATCAAAATTTTCTGCAGAACCATGAGTACAATGTTATCAGGACATCAAAAATGTAGGACCCTTTGGACAAAGTCACCAGTGCCATGACCTCTTAGCCATGGCCAACAATTCTTCAATTTCCTCTCTTACCTTTTGGGGAGATGTGTCTCCAGGTAACCGTAGGCTCTGGTCTACCTGTTGCTATGCAGGTGAGGCTGATATTGTTCCCTTCATTAATGGAGATATCTGAAGAAATCTCCACAATTTTGGGAGATACTGTGGAAACAAAACAGAGAGAAGCGAAATAAAAATCTTGTTAAAACATTTCTTTGTTGTCTTACAATGATAGTTGGCAGAACAATGCAGGGGCTGAAATATCGGGGCTGTGGGAGTAAATGATGAGAAATTAGAGGAATTACCTTAAACTAGAAAGAAAATATCTTACCTTGAATTTAGCTTCTATTTCCTCCCATTTAAACACAGAGTCAGGGAGTCTGAATGGGAATGGATTCCACTGCAATATTGCAAGAACTGTTCTCCTAGCCTGCACCCGCTTCCTTCTCCACTCTCACCCCCACCCACCTCTGACACACATCCACGAGTCATTCTCCACACTGCATTCAGAGTCCTCTTTATATAATGCAATTCTGATTTTATCATATCTCTGCCTAAACACCTCCAGGTGCTCCCTATTGCCTACCTGAAAATAATCAAGCTTCTCAGCCCTGCATACTGCGCTGTTCAGAATCAAGCAACAATCTGTGTTTCCATTGACATTCCCAGGCATCCCCCCTTTCCTTACCCTCCCTGTTATCCCTGACCCGCCATGTCCTTCCTGGCCGTCACACATCCAGGATCTGTATTGTTCCTTATGTCCTTCCTGCAAAACTTCTAGTCATCCTTTAAGGCCCAAATCAGATGCCATGTTGTTGCAGCTTTCCCTACCCCTACTCCTCTCTGTCCTCCACAAATTTAAGTTACCGCTGCTTCTCATCTGTGTTCCCAGAGTACATTACACATACCTGGTGGGGAGTCAGAGGGCACACCAGTTAGGCATAACACACTTGGTCTCTTTTCCTTCTGCACCCTAAATTTAATCCCCCAAGGAGGGGAGGGATGTATCTAATTGGTAAAATTGGGAGTAGGATCCCTGCTTCCTTCAGTCTTTCGTTTTGGAACCAGGCTTCTCTTAGGAACCTATATTCTGTTGCGGTCCTCCTCATATATGATTCACAGGGACAGCAACCCACGGGGACTTGTAGACCCCACAGACAGCCAGCACTTGCCTGTGTGCACCTGTCTCATCTTGGGGATCCAAATTAGAAGCTTCTTGTTGCTGCACTTCTAAGCCTAATTCTCTAGTACCATCTTTACCCCCAGTGAATGTGATATTCAGTTCAAGTATGACTGCTCATTTGTCTTATCTGCCAATTGGTGTATAAAGCAAGGATGTCATTTATTGAGCTCCCAGACTGTAATTCTTGGCACTTATCCTACTACGTTTTGGTTATTTGCTTAGCATCTCTCATCCACTAACCAAGAACATTTTGACAGCCTGAGCCATGATGTACTCATATTTATAGCCACAGCAAAAGCCGAACCAATATTTATAGAATGGAATTATAATGGTATTCAAGGGAACCACTTTCCAGCCTGCTACATGTTCGTAACAACATCAGGACTGGATCACTAACATGTACCAGTTCAGCCCATGGACACTAGTTTTGACACCTTAGCTCTTTACAAATTAAGTGGCCCCTCCACCCAGCTCACTTAGGGTTCTTCATATGAGGTCCTTCCCTTGAATAAGCCCCCATTTGAGCCATCAGAGTGTGCAATTCCAAGGCACATCATCCACCCAGTACACCATGCCAACTCTCCTGCTGGAGATCCGAGGAAACCTAAACGTCGACCTTATTCCCTGTCCCAAGGCCAGAGGATGACCCTCAGGTGGAAATCAGATTGATTGGAAATTTCTGTGATGGCCTTTGTTCAACTTGAACTTCTGATTGTGTTAAGTTTTCTTCTCCATGAAAAAGGAGTATCATGGCAGTATCTTCTTCTGGCCTTCGTTCTTGCATATTTTCTCCCACCCCTTTCTTAAACTCCAGCCAACTGAGAACACTCATTAATAAGCATGTGTTGTAATTTTGGTTCCTAATCCCCATGCCCTTGTTGCTGATTTTGGTCACTTAGGCTTTTCTCCCTAACCATGTATACCTATTGGAATTGTTCAAGGTACAGTTGAGTTACCACCCCTTCCATAACATCTTCCAGATATCTCTAAAAAGATGTGACCTCTCTTTCCTGGGGATCCCATAGCCTCCTCCAAGGCATTTAAAATAAACTTGTTTATGTTACCCCAGTCTCACCTTTCTTCTATGCTATAAAGTATCCGAATATAAGCTACAGAGCAAGAGCCTTACTCTTCTTTTTATTTTCTGCTGTCTTGAATAGGATGTCTGGCATAAAGTAAACACCATTTAATCATTTTTAGATTTAAATCCATATCGAGCGTCAGTGAGGCAGTGTGAGTATGTGTGTGTGTGTGTCTGTGTGTGTTTGCACATATACCTGCACTCTCACAATTATTTGGTAGGAGAGTCAATGTGGTGAGGGCTGGGGAGGGACCATTGGTTCTATGATCCAGGACTCCTAAGACATAACACTGCAATTTTATGGCTATACCAGTTTAAATGCTAGATTGAATCTTCCAGGACAGAAATTTAATTGATGAGTTAATGACTGAACACTTGATTTGCTGACTGTCTGAAGGATCCAAATTTTTAAAGGCTTTTAGTCTTTTTTTTAAAAAAAGATTTTATTTATTTATTTGACAGAGGGAGACACAGCGAGAGAGGGAACACAAGCAGGGGGTAGTGAGAGAGGGAGAAGCAGGTTTTCCGCTGAGCAGGGAGCCCGATGTGGGGCTCAATCCCAGGACCGTGGGATCATGACCTGAGCCGAAGGCAGCTGCTTAACGACTGAACCACCCAGGCACCCCTAAATGCTCTTAGTTTTAAAATCATTTAAACGTGATGTATTTTATTCAGAGTTTTAACCGGAACAGTCATTTCTTGCACCACCACTCCCCCAACCCATACATTTGCCTGGCCCTTGCCCCCACCCACCGCTGGCACCCACAGAGCTTGCTTGCTTCCTGGAGGACAGGCTGCTTGCATAATGACCGTGCTGGCCTTGCAGACGCTGCTTCAACTGCACAGGTAAGTAATTTATTGATCTGTAAAGCACTCCGAGATGCTCTGCAAGGGATTATGTCACGCCAATGCCATGCAATAAAATAAAAAATGATGGACTTTGTGAACACAGGGTGATTTAGGGTTTGTAGTTGGAAGTGTGCTTAAAGTACATTTTAAGTGGAAATCAGGCTGGGTAATGGATTACTCTTGCTTTGGAAGGGTTTACTGGGAGTTCATTTTCCTGGCTTCTTACAAGATAGCTAATCTGCTAATCATACACTAGAGAACAATGGACAGTCCCCAAGTAGAAGAGAAGGTGTTTTGGGCCAGAGCTGTTAGCACAGTAAGTATATTAAATGAGACAATCACACCTCATGCTTGGAAGAATCATGAATTGTCTCCCTCCACTAACAATTGGAAAGTGTCCAACTTATGAAGTAGAAGTTGAAGAAATGCTTGCTGTCCTTTCAATCCTGAACAGAAGTGCAGCTCAAAGGTGGCAAATGGCCCTGGATGAGTTTGAAAGGCAGACCATTCATGGCATCGAGCTGAGGTCGTTTGAGCAGAGGTGCAATCCCAATTATCAGAACTAAATTGGCATAGTGCCTAAGATGCTGGGGATTAAAAGTATCATTTTTCTAGGTGGCAAGTGCTAGCACACTGTCAGTATTTAAAATTAAATTGAATTGATAAGGATGCACTGGGCCTTAGCTAATTCATGTTCATAAAACTGTTCTGGTCAACTAAGATAGGGCTATTTATATATTTATATTGTTTCCATGGATACATTCTGCATCTTACCTCTTCTCATTATGCAGGCTGTTAGAAACATATTAAGATTGCTTTGACTTCCTTCCTTCCTTCCTCCCTTCCTCCCTTCCTTCCTTCCTTCCCTTCCTTCATCTATATTCATTGATCAATTTCATATACTAGCATTGTGCTTAATACTAAGAACTCAACACTAAAAAAGACACAGCCCTTGTCCTCAAGGAGTTTGTAGTCTAGAAATTAAAAATAGGTCCAGAAGTATATCCCCTTAGGGCACCTGGGTGGCTCAGTTGGTTATGCATCTGCCTTCACCTCAGGTCATGATCCCGGTGTCCTGGGATCCAGTCCTGCATCACGGGGCAGGGGTGGGGAGTCCCTGCTCAGCAGGGAATCTGCTTCTCCCTCTAACCCTCACCTCCGCTCATGCTTGTGCACTCTCTCCCAAAAATAAATAAAACAAAGAAGTATATCCCCTTAATCTCTTGTGACGTAGAGAAATAGATCTGATGTTGAGGGAATACAGAGGATAGATACTTAAGCCAGCTTAGAGGTGGATGTCATGGAAGATTTTTGGATATATGACAGGTAAACTAAGCTCAAGAAGATAAGTAAAAGTGAATCTGAAGAGAAGAGGGAAGAGATTGTAGTTAAAGGAGACTACACAAGAAGAATACTATTATTAAGAGTTTTTGTGGCCAGGCATAATTGGTAAAGGACAAATAGCTGCTAAAGGAGCTTGTGCCAAAAGTCATTCAACAAGCATTGAATGAACACCTCCTAGATACACAACTGTGTTGTAGGTATATGAACGACATGCAGAAATATACAAATTTGGTTGGCCCTCTATGAACTTACAATCTGTTTGGGAAAACACTGTGTATAAACATCCCAGAGAGTTGAAAAATAAAGAAAATTTGTCCCCAGAATTGTGGGTGGTTGAATGTCAAATGAGTGGTACAAATATTAAGCTCTGTAAGTTAGGAAGAGGGAGGATCATAGCAAGTAGGAGTGTCAGAGTGGCTTTGCCTCGTCTCTCGAGTCTATTCTGAATACCATATGGAAATTAAAAAAAAAACAGTCATAAAGGCTGAGAAAGTGAAGTTGCTTCAAGTGTGACAGGAATATATGGGCACAAAAGGGAAGGCAGAAATCATGAAATGTATGAAGATGCAAAGTTGATTTACCTCAAAAACAAAAGAGAGTTGTGGTTGAGATCCTGGCTGAACAGTGTTCAAACTGGGCAGCCTTAGCCAGATCACTTCATCTCTCTGTGCCTGACTTCTTCATCTATGCAATGAAGAGATAATT